ACATAATCTGCACACCAAACCAGACCCCCCCGAGCAACAAATCCAAGTGGTTGCTCCATATAAACCTCCTCACGCAAATCCCCATGAAGAAATGCATTTTTAATATCCAGTTGGAACAATGGCCAGTGGCTCATTGCTGCCATGGATAAAATTAAACGAGCCGATGCAATCTTTGCTACAGGAGAAAAAGTGTCAATGTAATCCAATCCATAGATATGAGTATACCCTTTCGCCACAAGGCGTGCTTTAAAACGATCAATCTTCCCAGCAGTCCTAACTTTAACCGTGTAAATCCACCGACACCCATGGATTTAAAAGGCGAAACGCCTTTACGCACCAGAGGCGCAAATGCGTAAATGCGGAAGAATATCGCTAGTAAGGCTTAAGCCTGAACTTACCGTAACAAGGCTTACGCCTTTTTTTGAAGAGGCGTAGAATGGGCTCCAAGGCGGTGCGCGTTCAAGAGGCGTACGCCTCTAATTTGACGTAACTTGGGCTTCTTTTTTTTAAATTAGTGGGGGCCAGTTTTTTGTTTTCCCATCCTAAACACCAATTACCTAGATCGCTAGCCGACTTAGCCACAGCCCTATATAAACAATTTCCGTTCAGCCTACCGACTTCGAACAAGAAACGGCAACTTGAAGAAGTAAAGAACAGGCTTAAAGTTGCTCAGGACATCACCGGCTCAGCTCGCCGACTTCATGAGCTCCCTGCATCTTTGCCGCTTCATCCAACCATCCAGGTATTAAGTATTAACCGTATTATACAATACTCCACCGCCCAATTTCATAATTTGTTGTTGTGTATTTGTGTTCCTAGTTTAAGTTTTATATTTGACTTTTTATATATTTAAAAGTTCTGTTTTCATTTATTAAAAGTTACGTATGCAAGCAATTGAGCAAGTATGCAATTAATGAATTTAACTTTTAACTTTTTATTTAACTTTTAACTTTTTATTTAACTTTTTATTTAAGTTCTAAAAAGTTCTGGTGAGCAGGTTTTTATTTAACTTTTTATTTATTTAAAAGTTTTTTTAGTTAAATAGTTGTCTGTTTATTTAATTGTTTAATTTTTTACTGTTTAATTAATGTATTTGTGTCTATTTTGAATTTGAAAGATCATAAATGTCTGTTTGTGTTTATTTAGTTGATTATATTTTGTGTCAGTTTGTGAGTATATTTTTGTCAATTTGTGAATATATTTAGATGTTTAATCTATTTGTGTTAGTTTGATTATTATTTTTTTATTAAAGTTGATTATCAATTATTTAGTTATTTAATGCGAGTACTTTACTTAAATTCTTGTAAAAAAATCATTTTATTCATAGGAGTGGGCTGATTACTCACGATGGTTAAACCCAGTAAGAATCAGGGAGAGGGGTCTAGCTCAAATAAGGATAAGGATCCTGCTTGGCAGTATGGAATTAAATTAAATCCTCCGGCAGGAAAGACTGGTTATGTATATGCAAAATGCAAATATTGCAATAAGGTGATCACCAGTGGAGTGGGGAGACTTAAAGAGCACCTTGCGGGAACACATAAAAATGTGGCGCCATGCAAAAGTATTCCCGAAAATGTTAAAAAGGATGTGCTAGCAATGTTGAAGAACTATCAAGATCAGAAACACGTTAACCAGAAGTTTTTTGATGAAATGGAAAATTCTGGCTCGTACTTTGGTACTGGAGTAACTGGACCTCAACCGCGTGGGCCTATTGATCACTTCGTTACTCGTCCAGGCAGTAGCTCAGGACATGTAGCAAATGAGCAGGAAGTTGTAGAAGATGATATTCTGCCTAACAAAATGAGTAAAACTACGATGAGAGAGCGACGCAATCTTGTTTGTCAAGATGTGGGCAGATTTTTCTTTGAAAATGCAATAGCATTTAATGTAGCCCGCAGTCCTTATTTTAACATGTTGCGTTCTGTTAGTAATTATGGTGCAGGCTTTAAACCCCATCTATGCATGAGTTGCAGACGTGGATCCTTAAAGCGGAATATGATACCACAAACACATATGTGGAAGAAGTGAAGAAGACATGGCCACACACCGGAGTTACGATAATGTCAGATGGGTGGAGCGACACAAGAAACCGAGGGCTTCTTAACATTCTTGTTAACAACCAATATGGTAATGTTTTCCTTAGATCTGTTGATGCATCGGATCGAGTTAGAGATGCAACTTATCTTTTTGAATTGCTCGACGGAGTAGTTGAGGAAATAGGAGAAAGTCTGGTAGTGCAAATCGTGACAGATAATGCAAGTGCATACAAAGGGGAGACTTTTAATGGAGAAGAGGAAGCACTTGTATTGGACGCCATGTGCCGCCCATTGTATTGACCTCATGCTTGAGAAGATTGGAGAGCTGCCACAGAATAAAAATGTCTTGATCAAAGCTAAGAAGGTCACTAATTTTATCTATAATCGTGGATGGGTTTTGCAGCTTATGAGGAAGTTTATCGGGAAAGACCTAGTTCGTCCAGGCCCCACGAGATTTGCTACTGCTTTCTTGACTTTAGATTGTATGGCCACCGCAAAAGATCCCCTGTAAAGAATGTTTGTTTCTAATCAATGGACTTCAAGTCGTTATGCAAAATTAGTCGTTTTGGCCTGGGGTTGCTTAATCAATAAAAACATCAAGGCCATTAGTTGAAGTGTTGAGGATTGTTGATGGTGATGAGCCTGCAATGGGATTCATCTACGGTGCTATGGATTCTGCAAAAGAAAAAATTGCAGAAAATTTTGGAAATCAATATTCCACTTATAGTGAGATTTGGAAGATAATTGATGAGAAGTGGGAGCACCAACTGCATCGGGACTTGCATGTTGCAGCGTATTATTTGAATCCCAGATTCAAATGGGAGGATGACTTCTCTACTCGTGTGGAGGTTAAGAAAGGTTTGTATGCTTGTATGGAGAGGCTTATTTCTGATAGTAGTGATTTTAACAAAGCAGATGCACAAATGGATGAATATCGATACAAGCGTGGACTTTTCGGAATGAGGGTGGCTCAAAATTCATATAAAACACGTCCCCCAGGTAAACATTAAACTACATCTTTAATATCTTTAATGTTTATACATAGTGTACTTGTGTATTAATGTAAAACAGAATTTTTTTAATTCTTTAACATTTTTTAGTGGAATGGTGGGATCAATTTGGAGATCATATTCCAGAACTACGAGCTTTTGCGGTCAAAATTCTTGGCTTGACGTGTTCTTCTTCTGCTTGTGAACGAAATTGGAGCACATTCAATCAAGTCCATACGAAGAGAAGGAATCGCCTTTCAGCCATTAAGTTGAATAGTTTGGTATTTATAATGTTCAACAAGAAGTTGAAGTTTAGGAAGAGCAGATTACAAAAGAAAGAGGATAATTTGATCTTCGATAATGTATCATCTGATGATGAGTGGATTGCTGAACCGAATGCAGATGATGGAGAAAGTGTGGATGCACGTGATGAACTTGCATTAGTTGTTGATGAAATGGACAACGAATTCAGAGGTTCATAACTTAATATTTTATTTTATTTTGTCCCTTCAATATAATTATTTACACTTAACTTCCATTCCGTTTCATTCTATTTTGTGACTTTAGGTGTGTAGGGGTGGACCTTACAGTTGGAACTGAAGAAGATAATGAGGCCCGTGAAAATGAAGGAGATGCCAATGAGAATGACATTACTAATTTGGATACTGATGCAGAGGACGATTGGCTTAGTTTGGAAGATTAATAGTTGCAATTTGTCAATTTGCAAACTTAAATTCCTAAACTTTTATTTTCTTGTCTTAGAATTTTAATGTTTTATGTTCTTTTGAGTTTTGACTTTGGTATTTCAGTTTTATATTATTTGGACTTGAATATTTTGTAGTTATGTTATTTTTACTTGCGATTTTGTTTAACTATGTTATTGTTATGAATTATCTATACTTTCTAATATGTCATAGGCTTGTAGATACATTTAAGCAATTAAATTTCGGGGCTTACGTCTCGTTACGCCTCGAGGCTTACGCCTCGGAAGGCTACCCTCGAACGCCTCGAGGCCCGATTTCGTCTTTCAAAACCTTGTCGACACCCAATCACTGTTTTGCCAGTGAGACTAGGTCCCATGTGCCACTAGAATGAAGTGCCTCAATCTCAACCAACATGGCTTTACGCCACTCCGGGTTGTCCAGGGCCTCATGTGTGGTTTTAGGAATGCATATACGAGACAAGTGAGAAATGAAAGCATAGTAAGGCGTAGAGAGGCAGTGATAACTCAAAAAGTTATATATGGGATGTGGGTTCAAAGTAGAACGTGTACCTTTTCGGAGGGCAATGGGCAAATTATCCTGAGTATTTTCGGGTGTTGGGGTAACTGATGGTGATGATATGGGATCCGGGAGTTGGGGTAACTTAAGATTTGAAGATAAACCAATTGATGATATGAGTATTTTCGGGTGTTGGGGTAATTTAAGATTTGAAAATACAATTTCAAGCTCATATGAAACTTTTATGTGATAATAGGTCTCTTATTAGTATAGCTCATTATCATATCCAACATGACAGAATAAAACACATAGAAATAGACCGACCCTTTATCAAAAAGAAATTAGGCATCAGTATGATTTCTAGACAGGTACGGCCCTTCAGGATTTCAGCTGGTGATTTGCTCACCAAAGGTCTTCCCTTAGAACGACTTTGAGCTCTTACATGCGAGCTGGGAATGATAGATATCCATTTCACCAACTTGAGAGGGAGTGTTGTAACAATAAAATATTTGGTTAATAATAAAAGATTTGTTAGAGATCTGTTTTTATTATGATTTAATTTCGTAGTATTGTTTAGGAGATTTGCATCAATTAGGAGATTTGTACATATTTTCTTATACCCTTAATTAAGTTAGTTTTAGCCTATAAAAGCAATATGTTGTATTTTACTTAAACAATAAAAATTCTACATTTCCACTCTAAAGACATAAATGCATCAAAGCAAGCAACGGCATAAGAAAAAATTTGGGTCAAACCTGTATCAACAAAAATCTTCATATTCATTAAATCGCGAACTCGTGAGTCATGAAAAACTAATATTCCCTCGAGGATGATTACATCAGATGCATTTACCTGCAACTCTATAACATTAGTAACTTGGAAGTGATTCATAGCAAACAAAGCAAAATGCATATAAATGACCAAACACAATGTCATTTGCAACTCCAGGGAACAATATGAATGAGACAGATTGGAGTCTTTATGAAACACATGCTCAAGAATAAAATAAAAATAAGCTTCAAATGTCACAATAATGTTAACTGGAAATGAAATTTATTACACATTCTCACATATAAGTTGGAAACTCATTTTGCCTCTAAAAGCAAAATGAGAAATGGTACCTGACGGAAGCTATCAGAACACCTCTGGTGTGCCTTGAAGTCATAAATGGGAACATGGACAGATTGACCAGCTTTTAGCTTCCCTACGCACTCTAAAAGCTGTTCAGTGTCAAAAGCATCTGAAAATAGAAAAGGCAACAAACTCTGAAAATCAAAATTAACTATCATATACCATAGATGAGGAAAAACTACAAATTATAGTAATTCAATGAAATACTATCATGCCTAATTTAAAAAAAATGAATACCTGGATGGTCAAAGTTATACTCGTGGACATGTTTTAACTCCTCTGGGGTTAACCCACGGTAGAAAGAATCCTAAGTATAAAAAAGTATGAGTTAGCAAATCTGCAGACTCAAGGGGATGCCGTATTCATAAGAGATGAGCATAAGACATTAATTTCAAGAAGCCATTGAGCATTTAAAGAGCGGGTTATACTTCACTAAGTATAATTTACGAGCGAAGTATAAGCAACTGGCAGTTTTTAGACAAATCAGCTGAAATGTCTGGGAAAAGAAAGGAACGGAGAGAGGAGACCTGATTGACAAGAACAACGCGATGGTCATGCAATTGTTGAATAATCATGTCACAAACAGTAGTTTTCCCGGAAGCAGTGCCACCCGAAACCCCTGTGCATAGCAATCAAACGAAAAAAACATGAGGATAATCACATAATCAATGAGTGTCTCGGCCTACACAATATTCAAACGGACAGATGACACATACACCCGACAGGGAGATGATATATAACCGAGACTAGGCTTGCTCTTACTTATCGAAAAAAACACCCCGTCTACTAAAACAAACGAGCAAGCAATTAAGTCGTACCGATTACAAAAGGTTGCTTGTGGACTGAGGAATCGGTAAAAGGAGCGGAAGAAGAAGCGAACGCAGTAGGAGTCGGGGTGGAAGAGCGAGGAGAAGAGGCGGCTGGGGACCGGAGTCCGTCCAGGCGAAGGCCGGAGAAATGTGGGCCCGATGCAGCCTCCATGACGTAATCAATCGCAGCCGTGGTGGTCTTCATGCCTTTTAATTCTGAGTGGGAAATATATCCAATTATTGAGGTTAAGTAGAAGATTTCTTCCGAAAAACGTCTTATATCTGGTTGTATCTTGAAGCAATGGTGAAATTTGATATGCAATGGTTAAGAATAGGTTCAGTCACTTCTTTTCTTATGATTTCTCTACAAAATAATAAGCATGAATGAAGGTAGGCCTAATTTAGGTATATAAAATTTGTTGGTGGATCTTTATTGCTTAGTTGAGCTGTACTGTGTGCTTAATTATATGTTCCTTTTTGAAGTGCTTACATCTCCGTTAAGAAACGCAGTTTGTCCATCCGTGTAGTGTTGCCACATCTTGTCACCTCCGCAACCCCCACTATAACCGACTACCTGAACCTGAATACCTGATTAGCCACACCTCGACTCTTTGGTCCTCGCTATTGAGGATTGCGTAATTGGAATTGAGACGATGATGAACCAAAGAAAGGGGCAGGGATTCCGGATTTCAAAGTTTCTCTGCCTCTCCTCTCTTCTCTTCACCTGCCCTCGCAGAATCGATCAATCGGCTCTTCGCTCGTTTCGCAGATTCGGTCAATCGACTTTTCCTACAGCGGTCCAGCCGCCTCGGCTCGACTACTACATGAATCCAGAATCCCCTTTAGCTCTTCTACACATCAGGTTTATCTGTTAACTCAATGTGAATGCTTGATTACGAGGAATCCAAATATTGGGTTCAGCCGCTTTGCTCGACTACTACCAGAACCCAAAACCCCTCTCACTCTTCTACAAACCAGGCTTGTCTGGCTGGTAACTCAATGTGAATGCTTGATTAACATGAATTGAAATATTGAATAATGATTATTTGGTATCCCTTCATTAGCTTTTCGGCTATTACAGTATTTCCCTCTTAATATGAAAATCTAATTTAATTTTTTCATACATGGGAAAGGAGAAAATCTAATTTAATTGATAAAAGTCCGCCTATTGCTCACTCTTTTCTTGGTATGTGTTGTATCTGCTTCCCCATGTTTTTGTTTTTGTTCGTATTCACCTTTCTTCACTCGATTCCACTATATTTGGGTAAATAGGTTTCTTCCCAACCCGTTTCCCGTGTTTTTAAGTTCTGAAAGAATTGTTAGAAAAATGTGTTAAAAATTGCATTAAATGGTCTTTTTGGGGCAATTATTTGAGTGGGGTCCACTTCCGATTTGGGTCGGGTCAAAGTGGTTTCGGATTGTCCTTGTTAAGGGCTACAATTCGATATGTGGTACACTCAAAACGGATAACGGGTGAGTGAGAAATTGATTCTCGAAGTTCACTCGTTGAAATGGAAAAACTGGGAAAAATGATGAGTTTCTAGTGTGTTTTATCCCACACCGAAAAACTCAAGGGATTTTCACCCCCTTATAAAGGGAAGCCTCTTTTAAGGAGTTAAGATTCCTAAAGGGAAAGGCTCTCTCTTACGCGCAGGGGGGGGTGCCGATCAAATCCCGAAACGGAGAAGAAAAACCGCGACTCGTGTGCGTGGGCGACCTGCGGACACGAATGCCGTCCAAAAATCTATCTCTCAAGAGATACGGTTAATTTTTGTTTTCTTCCCGAAACGTTTAATTTTTTCCCAGAAGTGCTCCGGACAGAAGGCCTCGAACAGAACCCCTCGAAGGGGTGTTCTGCTGGCTTCGAACAGAAACCCTCCAAGGGGAGTTCTGTTGGCTTCAGACAGAAACCCTCCGAGGGGAGTTCTGTTGGCTTCGGACAGAAACCCTCGAGGGGAGTTCTGTTGGCTTCGGACAGAACCCCTCCAAGGGGTGTTCTGTTGGCTTCGGACAGAACCCCTCCAAGGGGTGTTCTGTTGGGGTCTTCTGCCGCGCACTTCTTCCGTTACAACAATTAATGCCCAACGTTCTTCTCTTTTAATGCTGCGTTAAATGGACAGTTTATGGACGATTCAATGCCCAACGGACTGGTCATTGATGTCCAACGTTCAGCTCCATTAACACCCCATTTAACACACAACAAATCCTCCTATAAATAGCTGGCAGGTGCTTTGCAACAAACACACGGTTTTGACAACGCACAACACTTTCCTCACGTTTTCTTGAGCTAAAAACTCTTCCAGCTACTCCCAAAAATCCTTCTGTGTTCGTACTTGGTTCTCGTTCGCTGGAACTCTTGTTTGTGTGCTCAAACATTAGTTCGTAGTCATCGTATCCTGGGAAACGATTGTTACAACGCTCCTAGCACCGTGGGAGGCAACAAATACGTTTTAAGGAAATCGTGCGTAGCACGAGCTTTGGCTAATTCTGCTTCATCTCCTTTCTTGTTTTTCTCTAGTCATTTTATTTAATTAATTTATTGTAATTAATTTTCTTTATTTTCCGAAACACACCCAACAATCTTAAAACGTACTTGTTGAGCTTGTATCATACGGATACAAACTTAAAACGTATTTGCCTTGGTTGTTGTACTGCGGTAAACAATCTAAAATCGTAGTTTGTCACTTTGGTGAACGAACTTATTTTTTTGTGTTTTCGGAAAAACGTTAAAGAACGAAAATGACTTCTCAAGAAAACGAGATTGGTGTTGGGCAGAATGTTCTGAACGACAATCACTCTGAAAGCGGAGCACCGGTGAACAATAGTTCACAACGCGGTGCATCTGCTTTGGCCAACCAAAGGGCTATCCCTATGGTGACCGTGCCAAGCAACTCTGTGGAGAAACCCGAGAAATTCAACGGGTTAAACTTCAAGAGGTGGCAGCAAAAGATGCTATTTTACCTCACTACTCTCGGTCTTGCTAGATTCTTGACCGAAGATGCGCCGGTAGCAACCGGGGGTGAGGTGGATGCGCAATCTTTCAACGCGGTTGAAGCTTGGAAGCATTCTGACTTCCTTTGCCGAAACTATGTGTTGAACGGGGTGCATGATGCTTTGTACGACGTGTATAGCAAATTAGCTACGACTAAGGAGTTATGGAATGCTTTGGACCACAAATATAAAAGCGAGGATGCCGGCGCAAAGAAATTTGTTGTTGGTCGATTCCTTGATTTTAAAATGGTGGATTCGAAGACGGTCTTGAGTCAAGTTGAGGAGATGCAAATGATCTTCAACGAAATTCGAGATGAAGGAATGACGGTTAGTGAGTCATTCCAAGTGGCGTCAATTATTCATTTATTGCCGCCGGCTTGGAAGGATTTCAAGAACTACCTTAAGCACAAGCGAAAGGAAATGAACTTGGAGCAATTGATCCTCCGTCTGCGGATTGAAGAGGATAACCGGAAGAACGATGGGAAACTCCCAATTGTTCATGGCGCCAAGGCCAACGTAGTGGAGCATGCTAAAGGCTCCAAAAATAAAAATAATGGGAAGAGCAAGCTCGGTCCCAAGGGAGGCGTTTCGAAGACAAAGTTCAACGGAAAATGCTTCAATTGAAATAAAAATGGACACAAGTCCTCGGATTGCAAGGCACCACGGAAGAAGAAAGACTCTCAAGTCAACTTGGTGCAAGGTGGGCAAAAGGATGAAGACATCATCCTAGCGGCTGTGGTTACGGAAGTCAACCTCGTTGGATCCAATTCCAAGGAGTGGTTCGTGGACACCGGTGCAACCCGGCATATTTGCTCAAACCGGGAGTTATTCACAACTTTTGAGCCATCAAATGGTGAGAAAGTGTGGATGGGTAACTCGGCTCATTCCGCGGTTGAAGGCGTGGGCAAGGTGGTCCTGAAGATGACTTCGGGCAAGGAGCTGACTCTAAACCAAGTCTTGTTTGTTCCGGAAATACGCAAAAACCTGATTTCCGGTTCGTTGTTGAACAAACATGGCTTCCGCATGGTTTTTGAGTCGGACAAATTAGTTTTGTCTAAATCGGGAATGTATGTGGGAAAGGGGTATGCATGTGACGGGCTGTTTAAGCTCAATGTAACGACTATTATTAATAATAATAATAAAATCCCTTCTGCTTATTTGCTTGAGTCTTCCAATGTGTGGCATGGTAGACTAGGACATGTTAATTTTAATTATATACGTAGATTAATTAACATGAAGCACATTCCTAAATTCACAATTGATGTGAAGCACAAATGTGGAGTTTGTGTAGAGGCAAAACTAACGAAAACGTCTTTCAAATCGGTTGAAAGAAAAACGGAACCACTTGAATTAATTCATAGTGACGTTTGTGATTTTAAATCAATACAAACACGCGGCGGTAATAAATATTTTATTACCTTTATCGATGATAGCACTCGCTATAGCTACGTTTATTTATTAAAAAATAAACACGAAGCAATCGATAAATTCATTCTTTATAAGAATGAAGTGGAAAACCAACTTAATCGACGGATTAAGACGGTTAGGAGTGATCGAGGTGGTGAGTATGAAGCACCAATTGGTGACTTTTGCGCTAGTGTGGGTATAGTACACGAACGTACCGCACCCTATTCACCTCAATCAAACGGTGTTGCCGAACGAAAGAATCGCACATTGAAAGATATGATGAACGCGATGCTAGTAAGTTCGGGCTTGCCACAAAATATGTGGGGCGAAGCAATCTTGACAAGCAATTACCTGTTAAATAAGGTTCCCCGGAAAAAATATGATAATACCCCGTACGAGTTGTGGAAAGGCAGACGGCCTTCCTATCAATATTTAAAAGTGTGGGGGTGTCTTGCTAAGGTGCTTGTACCAACACCTAAGAAAATAAAAATAGGTCCAAAAACGGTGGATTGTATTTTTATTGGGTATGCACAAAATAGTAGTGCTTATCGGTTTTTAGTGTACGATTCGAATAATCCGGATGTACATAAAAACACAATAATTGAATCAAGGAATGCCTCATTCTTTGAAGATGTATTTCCATGCAAGTCCAACGATGGGCCTAGCACGTCAAAACGAACATTTGACGTAGCTATAGAAAATACTAGCGAGGGATCCGGAGAAGAACCCGAACCCAGACGTAGCAAACGTGCTAGAATTGAAAAATCATTCGGACCGGATTTTCTCACCTACTTGGTAGAATTTGACTCGGATATTCTAACATGTATGGTAGAAAATGAACCGGATTTTCTAACATGTTTGGTAGACAATGAGCCACGGACTTATACGGAAGCCGTGACGTCTACTGAAGGTCCTATGTGGAAAGAAGCCATCAAAAGTGAGGTGGACTCTATCCTAAAAAATCACACGTGGGAATTGGTTGATCTCCCTCCG